GATTCCGTCAGGCAGTTCCTGTACTTGACTCCAAGATAAAGACCATTCGAAATGAGCTCCGGAGGGCTCTCCGGGTGCCAGATATGTCCGTCAGACAATTGGCACGGATTATCGGTCTTCTGGCGGCTTCTATTCAGGCGATATTTCCGGGCCCTCTACACTACCGTGCCCTCCAACGTCTCAAAGGTTCGTACCTCCGTTCAGGTCATTGTTACGAATCCCGGATACGGCTGGACGAGGAATCCAGAGACAAGATAGTGTGGTGGTTGGCCCACATGGAGGCATGGAACGGAAGAGCCATCTTCGGTTCGATCCCGGATATCGTAATCGAATCCGACGCCAGCTTACACGGCTGGGGTGCTCGTTGTGGAGACGTTTCCACAGGAGGCAGATGGTCAGACATAGAAAAGTCCCTACACATCAATTGTCTGGAACTTCTGGCGGGAGCCTTCGCGATTCGCAGCCTGACCCCGGTTCAAGCAAGCTGCTGCGTTCTCCTCAAGATGGACAATGTGTCGGCAGTCCGGTACATAAATCACCTGGGGGGCACAAAGTCCAGAATGCTGGCACTGTTGGCAAAGGACTTTTGGCAATTTTGCCTTCTCAACAATGTCTCGGTGCAGGCGGAACACATTCCAGGTCTGGACAATTCGGGAGCGGATTGGAATTCCAGATACTTAAGAGACTCAGGGGATTGGCGCTTGCACGTCTCCGTATTCCAGGGTCTGGACAGACTATGGGGACGATTCGAGTTGGACCTATTCGCTTCACGCCTGAACACTCAACCCCCGGAGTTTTACAGCTGGAGGCCGGATCCGGCGGCAGTGGCGACGGATGCTTTTCTCCAGGACTGGCCACCAGGCCCCCTATATGCCTTCCCACCGTTCAACATGATCGCTCGCACGATCTCGAAGTTGATCCGTCACAATTGTTGCCTGGCGCTGATCACACCTCTGTGGAGATCCCGTCCATGGTTCCCACGCTTGATGGAGTTGTCGGTGGACTTCCCCCGACTGATTCCGAACTTCCAGGACCTTCTTCTGGACCCGGATGGGAACTCGCACGGACTGGTACTCGGACATCAGTTACCTCTGATGGCGTGGCTCCTTTCAGGGGATCCAGGGTTGTCCCGAACGTTTCGCAGTCTACTCTCCTGCTCCTCGATAACGCCTGGGCTCCAGGTACGAGATCGACCTATCGATCTTCATGGAACTCATGGTCTGGTTGGTGCATGGAATGGGCTTTGGATCCCGTATCTGCCCCTCTCCATATGATTTTGGAGTTCCTTACATTTCTGTTCGACTCGGGCAAGGCGTATCGCACTATCAACCTTTTCCGTTCCGCTATATCAGCTGGACATAAGGGTTTGGATGGTTCGCCTGTAGGCAGGCACCCTTTCGTGTGTCGCCTTTTCAAGGGCATTTGTCTCGCTCGCTCGCCCTCCCAAAGCTCGTTTCTCTGCCTTTTGGGATGTTAATGTGATGCTACAGTTTCTGAGACACAGATATCTACTAAGAAAAGATAGTAAATGTATTACCGGTCCTTAGAGTGGCTGGGCTTAAGGTGGAAGTATAGACTAATGACAAAAGAGAGAAAAACAGACGGAGGGTATGGACAAAGTAGTTTAATCTGTGTCAAAGCTAAGAGTGGGGTAACCCAACTTGGGCAGATTGACTTTTAGGAAAGCCATTTGCTCCATGAGCCGCGGTGCCAGTTGGGAGCGCTGAGGGCAAAGTATGTTTCCCGTAACAGAAAACACACGTTCACTCTGGACAGTGGTTGGGGGACAAGAGAGGAGCTCCTGGGCTAACAGAGAGAGAGCAGGCCACACATACCTTTTCTCATCCCAAAAGCTCAAAAGATCTGTGGTAGAGGGCACAGGTGGTTCACCAAGAAAAGCCATCACCATCTCTTCAGCACTACTTCCTTTTCTTGAGGGAACCGTACTGTGTCCCACAAAAGTATCCAGAGCTTCAGCCCAAAACGCAGCTGCTCCAGTGGATTGAGCAGTTCTGCTTACACTGCTAGATGATGGTGCTACACTATCAGGCTCCTCCAGCTCTTCTTCCTCAAACAACCTTAACCTCTTTCTTTGCACATCACGAACCCTGTCAATTTATCCCTCCAAGCGGTCAGGGAATTCATGTGGAGTGCCATCTTGCCCTTTATTCTCGGGTCACACATGCAAGCAAGCATCAACTCTTGGCAAGACTCCATGCGCTCATTGAACCTACATGTTAGTTGCTCCTCGAGCCTCCTAACAAGTGCAGCAACATCACCAAGTAGTTGTCCACCAGGTACTACTTCCTTTTTAGAAATTAAGCCACTCAGCTTATTTGAGAGGTGGGTGAACAAGGGAATTACTTGACCAAGGCTCACATTTTCTTGGCTCAAATTCATCGTAACATCCCTGAATGGCCTAAGGACTGCCACTAGCTGCCCAATCATTAACCAATCCTCCCTGACTGAGGGGCTATCGATCCCGATGTAATGCTCATAGGAAATGGCATTGATTGCTTTCTGCTGCTCCAGGATGCGCTCTAGCATTTCCAAATTGGAGTTCCATCTAGTCCCTACATCTTGCTTGAGACAATGCTGGTCAATGCCTGCCTTCTTTTGCTCATTTCTCAGGAGCTGGCTATCCTTCACGCTACGGTGGAAGTGGCCAGCAATCTTTCTCCTTTTTCCAAGCAGGGTTGCCAACCGTCCACTGCTTTCGTGTTCAATAGCAGCTTTCACTACTAAATGAAGGATATGAGCTGAGCAACGCACGGCTACAAAGCTACCATCACGGAGAGCCTTCACCATGTTTGCTGTTCCGTCAGTCACCACAAAACGCATCTGTGCGTTTGCCTGCTATCCTACCCACTGCACCATCATCTTTTTTAATGCCTGTAAAATATTTGCAGAGGTATGTTTTTTTGTCCATCATCTCAGCATGGAGGAGCAAGGAGCAGTGCTTGCTCCCTGTGCATGACGTGGTGACATCTCCTGACATCTTGGGCTGCCACCAATGTCCTGTCAAGAACAGGAAAGCATGCTGGCCACTAGGAGCACTCCACAAATCAGTTGTGAAGTGCACTGACTGGCCACCAGTCTTTGCCAGATGCTCCTTCAACACCGCAACACAGGAACGGTAGAGTGAGGGCACTATGTTCCTGCTAAAAGTTGTGCATGATGGAATTCCATATTGCGGTGAAACAGCTGCCATAAGATGCTTGAAGGGCTCCCCTTCTACCATGTTAAAAGGGGCACTGCCAACGGCTATCAACTCAGCAATGAGCCGAGTAATTTTCCTGGACTGCTGCCTGGACATCCCCCTAGAGTGAAATCCACGAAAACTTTCTAGGGTGGGCTGTGCAGCATGAATTGGATGACTGGTGGCACTGTCCTGCAGCAGAAGTTCGATGATCCCCCTTCCTCTTGTCATGGCTAGTGGTGGTGGCACTACTACTTCTCCTAGTACTGCTAGGTGGAGGAGCCACACTGCTTTCTTGCCTTAGCAAGATGGCCTTGTGGTGTATACGAAGATGTTGGTTCATCCCAGAGTTAGTAAGATGACCCAACACCTTCCCACGGCCGACTTCCCTGCCACACAGTTTACATTTTGCCAGACGGCAGTCTCCAATTGTTGAAAAATGTTCCCACACTGTAGAACGATGAGTGCCACTATTAGTTATGGGTGGGGAAGACTGTGCAGTTTCACAATCAACTGGAGAGGCAGTTGGCACTGCTGGAGTTGGGGGGGGCAGATATCAGTAGGGGAGATTGAGTGGGTGGTGGTGGACTGTCTTCAAAAGAGAGATCTTCAGGCTCATCATCATAGTCTAGTTTCTCATTTCCTAGACTAGAGCCTTGCTGCTGCTGCTGCTGAGAAACCAAGATATGTCACCAGCAGCTGAAATTGGGGCAAACTGATCAATTCCCTCTTCTCTCTGGCTACTGGAAACTACAATATCTTCTTGTATTATGTCATCAATTATTGTACTGCTGCTGCTATGAGAGATGGTGGCAGTAGCAGGGGTAGTAGTGGTGGTGGCATGAGTAACACTAGCATTTTTTTTCTCCTCCCTCCTATATCTCCCTCTTAGGCTGCCTAAATGGATGAGCAACTGTAACAGGCTGTGTTGAAACTGCACAGCTGCTGTAAAACATAGCAGTGGAGCTGGCAGTAGTGGAGGTAGAGGTACTACTTTCACTAGTAGCAATGCTGGTGGTTGTGAGGGGAGTAAACAGCTGTCTACGAGATTTGGATGGTTGCTGCTTTGTGGACCTAGGGGACATCTCAACCCTGCTACTGGAAGGCATCTGCTGCTGCTTTTTGGTGCCAAATACCTGGACATTGAGACCTGCAGATTCTCTCCGTGCCCTCTTCAGTTTCATAGGTGGACTAACTGCGCTTGAACTCTTTCTAGTGCTACCGCTGGCTTTGGTTGCAGGAATTGGAAGCACTAGCAGCCCCTGCTGTTTCATTTGCCTCCGCTTCAGGTGAGTTGAAGAGGAAGCAAGTGTACCACTACCTGCACTGGTGGAGGAGCTAGTAGTGGTACTACGAGCAGCGATATGGTGGCTGCCAGTTTCCTCAGTCACTTTGCTTGAGGGGAGAATGTGAGGACTTGGAGGACGTGGACGGTCCATTATGGTGTCTTTTGTGTTGTGAATTTTTTATTTAAATTAAATCACAGAAAAATTAAAAACAAAATACAAAATGAATCACTGTAGCAAAGTCACAATGCAGCAGAGACACACCCTGGCAATCAATCAGGCTGTCAGGTGTTTGCTTGCATTCATGTGACCAGATGGCAGGCTAGTTGTAATAGCACAAAGAGACTGAGAAAGGTAAACAACATTCCATTGCATTTACTTTACTTCTTGCAGACTTAAGTAGCCACTTTGCTTACATGTGTGTTCCAGGGAGAGAGATAGAGAGATAAGGGTGGAGAGAGTGAGATTTTCCTTTTTTTTTTCTTCTGCAATCTGTCTTTATTCTGTTTTTCTTTTTCTTTTTTAAGAGGAGGGTGAGATAGTGTGTGTCTTTGCAAGCTAGCCTGATTGCCAGTCAGTGTCTCTCTGCTGCACTGTGATTTTACTGAAGTAATTAATTTTGTATGTGATAGCTGTTGCCAGGTAGCCTGATTATTGCTATTCCACCTTACTAACTCTGTGTGCCTTCATTGGCCAAGTGTCAGTGACAAAATCACCATCAATTGGCTGTCCTCTAGCATCAATCACAAAAATGTGCTAATTTCATTGGACAGGGAATAGTGAAACCGGATTGGGCAAGCAAGAATTACATTGCACAAAAGGAATTAGATTATTGGTTAAGATACCTGTCATCATTCATTAATTTTCCCTCCCTCTCGCTTGTTTTCTTTTGACACTTCGACCCTTCGTGATATCTGCACTTCGGACATTCGTAAGTATCCGAATGGCCAAAATTCGGCCAAATTTACATTCGGACCGAAACGAATTGCACATGTCTAGTAAAGACATACACACTCACACAGCGCTGTGTTGCATATCAATAGTAGCTTTAATAACTAATAATTCCTGTAGGCTCTGCTGGACAGTGCCCCCATTTCCCTTAAAGTGCTCAGTGAATCTGTAACTGAGACCTGAGGATCTTATGCTGTGGCTAGTTGAAAGGTTGTCAGTCAGTCAGTCAATCATTTTTTATTTTAATCTCACGTTTTAAAGGCTCTACTTAAAGACATATTGGCACCTTTTATTATAAGTTGCAGTTTTAGCTCCTTTTTTTACCAAGATCTCCAAGGGTAGTTTTTAGGGGTGCTCCTACTTTACAAAATAAATTAGTTAAAATGTATTTAGCCCCTGTCCCAAGTAATCATTTTTAAATACTCATACAGTTTTTTTTTAATGTGGTAAGTGTGGGTCCTCCATTTCCATATGGTAGTGTAAGAGGGTTAAGGACTATAGTGTAGGGGTAGATATGCAGCCTGTGGTGCTTGTCTGGCAGCCTTAGTATGCAGGACATTTTGAGAGAGCAGTTGTCAGCATCTGGTCACTGGTTGGCTGTAACCTTGCTCTGGAATGCCCGGAGTGGATTCTCTCCTTGGTTGACAGTGGTTGGTGATAGGAACACTGTGCTCTTCCTGCACACGTCCCTCAAGGGCACTGTAAAGATGCCAATGCTGATATGATGTAATATCCCGGCTGCCATCTCACTGCAGGACGCACGAGGAAGCTTGCAGGGAGAGTACAGCAAAGAAAAAAAAAAAGCAGCTGAATCCGGGGTGGCGTTCCAGTTGGGAGAGCACAAGGGGGAGGCACAGCATGATATGAGGAGCAATGAGACACTCTGCCCCCCACTGCTCACTGAGTTGTCATAACACTTTGTTGTTTTTTGTTGTTGATCCCATTAGACCGTTGGGTGATATCTCGGTCCACCTCTAGGGACACCAGCATCTTTGCAAGCTAACGATCTGCCTCTGCTTCTTGGAAGACCGCAGGGTGCATTCAAGATGGCTGCCGAGCTGGAGTTGCATTCCTGCAACACAGGCCTAACGGGCCAGACATGGAGGGAAAGCTTTGAGGCCAGATTTGATGCGATCTGCCAAGCGTTCTGGCACCGCTTAAGCAGCCGACCTCTCAGCACTGCCTCCCCTGCCGATATGCAGACCCATGCTGTCACTGTACACCCGCTCTCCTCTTCCAGCCTGAGGGGCCACTTGGAGTCGCATCCAGCCTGCCGTCCACATGCTCGATGGGGCTCTCGAATTCCAGAGATCCTACGGCCCAAGGTCCTGACACATGGAGTAGGGGGATCTGTGGACATGGGGCTTTGGCCCTCCTAAAGGCCTGGACTCATGGGTGCAGGGAACAAAGCCAATCGAGAGTTTTATCAGGCAACAAAGAGCCTGGAGATCCCGCATAAGAGCTGAAAGGACTGGAGACATCAGATTTCCATGGCCTCAGTGGGCCACACGTGGCCAAAGTGCCCAAGCAAACCGATATTCTCAGAGATCTCGAGGGCTCTGTGTGGCAGAATGGAGAGGAGATGGTGGCTATGGATGCTGTATGGAGGTGGCAGATCCTGGAAACTAAGCGAGCCCAGAATATTCTATACTCCTGTTTGGACTCAAGGCTTTGGTTGAGAAAGCAGCACCCGAGGGGCTACATGGCTTAACTGAGATGCTCAGTCATTGTTGTGGTGATCTGGGCCTCCAATCCCCCTATGATTCTTTATGCTCTCTTCCTTCATAGCACACCTCATTATTAATCTACTTTATTTCCTTATTGTTCTCCTAGAAACCAGATGAATATATGTTTGTGGCCCTTTACTTTCCTGTCTATTTCATGTGTGGTCAGTTCACTCATTCTGTGACCTTACTAATGTCTTGTTCTCTGCTCACCCACACTCACATGTCTTGCTTTATATATATATAAAAGTGCAGCAACTGTCCTTTCAAGCCTCTGTAAACGCACCAGATCTAACACGGACACAGGCATAGGATAGATGTCAGCAGGTTACCTGGGCAGCGATTCTCCTTACGCCTATTCTGCTGCAGCCATGGTGAATCTCTTACCGAGCTTGCAGTGCTCTTACCATGTATCTGTGAGCTTTCATCTTCAAAGTGCAGTATCTATGTGGCGGGACCTCTGCCTGTTCATAAATTGCTATGTGTTATTCCCCCGTGTTTTCCCCTGTATTGTGCTATATTCCTGTGTTTTACCTGCACTACGTTCGGGAGGGCCAATACGAACATGTTCCGTTCACCTCCCGAATGGGGACCACCACAAAACCTCATTTAGAATGTTGTCTTAGAACTATCACACCTTGTAACGAGGTGTCAAAACCACAAACCGCATGGGAAGCCTTGACGTGTGCCGACCCTGGTTGGCGGCCCGTTCGTTAGATGAACGCCATCTAGGGGGAGCATCCATGGATTGCTTTCCACCTTGGCGGCCACGGGGAGCATTCGTGACACGAAAGAAGACACTTCCTTTGTCTGGTTTCATCCAGGGACCCTACGGGCGGAGGCGGTTACCGTTCTGGGGATTCCTGAGATTGGTTGGGAAACACCCTTGGGGACAGTGGCGGTTTGGCGGGCTTTCTGTAGCTGGGAGTCACAGAGGCGGGAAACTTTCCCGCAATGGGACTCCCAGGTACAGCGGCTCATGGGAGAAAGATGGCGGTAACTGGGGACAAAGAGACCGGAGTTCCTGTCACACACACAGGTCCCTGGGTGGGGGCACTGAGTGGCGGGAACAAGGGACAAAGGTATTGGGGTTTCTGGTTCCGTAATGCGACCCCTGGGAGGGGTAGGACCCTGGGAGGGGACATTGTCGTTGTGTGTGATCCACCCCTTGCATGGGAAAAGTATAAAGCCAAGTGTGGCCAATAAAATTGTTGTTGTACCCCCAGGACTGTGTGCCGTCCGGTTACTGGGTGGGAAATGGGTCTTTCTGTTCTATAATTGATTCCCTTCCACGGACAAGACATGGCTGAACCAGGACAACCAATTGTGGCCCAGTGGTTTATTCACGTAACAGACATGTCTAAATGGTTCCCATTAATTGCTATCTTATCTTTTACTATACTGTTACGACATGTTTGTTTTCTGTTTTCTTGACTGTTCTTTTAAAATTGTGCTACTATCTCTGCTACTCAGCAATGGCAGGCATAGCCCACTTAATCTCAACCGCATATCTCATATATCCAGCCTAGATATCTTACTGAATAAACCAGCAAGAGCATGTTTTATTGAGAGAAGGGAGAGCATGTTTTATTAACTTAACTAATTGTGACTAGCAGTTTAAGCCATCTATTCAGCGACTCGCTCTTGCATATACATAGTGTTGTACACTTTAGCTCAAATCTCTCACAACAGGGTCAAGATTTCTGTCACAAGTCTGAACCAGTCTTAAATCCCTGATGGTATATGCCCTACAGCTATAGGATCTTGCTTGAGAGCTAATTTTGGATCTGCATAACTTAATCTGTTTACTTATAATAATACAAAACATGTGCCAGGAAATCGTTTGACATGCAATTGCTCTACTATGTACATTGATATGCCTGTGTCTGCTGTCGTGGCAATGCAGGATTGTCTGTATATTCTAAGCACAACATAAATAAAGTTTAATAAAAATTTTTTTTTTTTTAAAGTGCAGCAACTCTGACATTTACCATATGCTTATCCTCAGAATAGTAGCACAAATCTCTGTTTAAATGTCTGTATATGCTTATAAGTTTCCAAATGCACTACAAAAAGAAAGAATTAAAAAAAATTATATCATTAAATATTATGTTTTTGCAAGTATGCATCCAGTTGCAGTTTAAACATCTGTACAGATTCTGATAAAACTACTTGTTCATGTATTCCTCATCCTTATTGTTCTTATGGTAAAAAAACTTTTATTTTGCCTTAGACTAAATCTTCTTTCTTCCAGTCTGACCTTGTGTCCTATGTATAGTCCTGGTTGTATTGGCCCTGGATATATTTGTATAATCTTATCATATCCTTTCTGAGGCAAAGTTTTTTTAAACTAAAGAGGTTTAAATTTGTTAACCTTTCTTCATAGCTAAAATTAGCTAAAATGTTCCATTACTTTTATTAATTTTGTGGCTCTCCTCTGCACTTTTCTAGTGCCATAATATCCTTCTACAGAACAGGTGCCCAAAATTGCACAGCATATTCAAGATGTGGTCTTACCAGTGATTTATAAAGAGGCAAAATGATATTCTCATCCCGAGAATTAATGCCCTTTTTCATGCATGACAATACCTTAATGCCTTAATGGCCTTAGCCACTCCTGATTGATATTGCACATGGTTGCATAATTTGTTGTCTATAACAATTCCCAAATCCTTCTCGTATGTAGTTATCCCTAACTCGCTTCCATTTAGGTTATGTTGCTCGTGCATTCTTTATGCTGAAGTGCATCACTTTGTCCTTTTCTACATTAAATTTCATCTGCCATTTGAGTGCCTAGTCCCCCAGTCTATCTAAATCCCTCAGCAGCAAAGTAATATCTTGCTCACATTGTATTAGTTTACAGAGTTTTGTCATCTGCAAACACTGAAACATGACTTTCAATGCTTTTTTCAAGATCATTTAAAAACATTTTAAATAGGGGGGGTCCCAGAACAGAACCCTGAGGGATGCCACCTACCGCCTCTTTCCAGCTTGATAACTTACTATTAATGACAACTCTCTGTACTCTATTTTTAAGTCAATCTTTTACCCAAGAAC